GTGCGTTCCAGCCTGGGTTGAAATAGCAAATATTAAATCAAAAATCACTTTCCGGCGTGTTTTTTTTGATGCATTTTTGCATATATGCAAATGCAAAAACGCATATTGTGACGACCCCGTGTGTGTGTTGTGTGTATGTGCATTTATGTGTGTGCGTCCGTCCGGGTATTTCAGTTCGGCGTCCAAAAAAGCTGCGACGCCAAAATTTTGCCAGTGGGTTCACCGGCCAAGTGCCACCCCAGGACCGCGGCACCAACCCTCGTGCTCGCCTAGGCCGGCGTACGAGTGTGTGGAAGTTTTGGCAGCAAAATTGCTAACTCGGGAACCGGGGAAGCTGGGGGGGCTAAAATTTTATAGGGATGTTCCCAACCTATGTGCAACTTAAATATTGCAAACTCAGCCTCCACATACGCGTAGTTTTTACATACGGCCCTGTGAAACTTCTTGGCGAGAAAATTGCTAAGTCGAGGACCAAAAAGGGCAGAAAGCTGAAATTTTGAAAGGATGTTGCCTGGCTAAGTACCATTTAGTTACACAATTAATCTCCTAAATTTCAAGGATCAGTATGCCATAAATTCTAGCTACTGGGACTCCAAGCGATCTTACAACAGCACGAAATACTGCAAAACGCATGATCGTACGGGCCTACCTGATGTGCGTCACCAATGATTCTCATACTGCCTTCCTACAAATTTGGAATAAAATCTAGCTATACCCATGCATTTTGCTTTTATTGAATTCAGTGCAGTATCGTCTTTGTAATTAACCAATTATGCTCTCTCCCGCAGGCCCTTCCTTTTTTCCTCCGTTCCTCACTCGTTCTTCAGCCTTCCCAGTATCTTTCATTTTCCGGCTTTTGCTTATATCAAATCGTAAAATATGTATTTTGCGCGTATCGGATCACAAAATCGCCTTTACAACATTGCTAGTGCTGTGCTAGCTAACAATGGTCGAATCAGTGAAAACTTTAACGCCTTGGTCAGCTGCTGTTTTGTCGCAGCGTTCTCTCTCGTCATTGTTACTGTGGTAATATCATATCCGTTTTGATACGAGACGGGTTTGTAACTGGTTTCGCCGCAAGCTCTGGAGTATTTTCAAAATTCGTAGTGACGACGTACCCAATGAACAAGTGGCAAGCTGCCTTCCTGACTTAACAACTTTCTGTACAACTTGTTCGGTGTTCATCT